GGTAAAAAATATGGTAAAAAAATGTTATGAGCATACGCTTTGGTGACCAAAGCTGAACAAATTTTGGACCTAATAACTGACTCGATGTGTTATTAAAATAATGCTGACGGTGCACAAGTGCAATGCTGGGATGTTATGGATATGAAACTTTGGATACGGATAGGTTTCGGATATAGAAATGATTATTATACCTAAATAAATTATTTCGGATCATCCGTTAGTTTCGGATAATATTTATTATTAATTTTTAAAGGAATTTAAAAAGTAAAACACAAATGGCTATTAAAATGGTTAAACGGGTCTCAATTAGGCTCCGCCCCTATCCGAAACTGTTATTTCGGATTCGGTTACGGTAACAAATATTTTTTTATATCGGATATCCGATAGTTTCGGTTGGGGACCTCATTAACATTCTTGGTGCAAAGTACGTAACCTGTACAAAGTATATATCTAATTTGATGTCGGTAAATACTTAAATGTTTTAAAATGCACGACACTCTATTATGACTGAAAGACAACGCTTCAAGATAAGATGTAATGTGTATATGTACATACATAGTTAATCTATATCTACATCTATACATATAAATAAAATTGGAGTGTCTGTTTGTAATTTGAAATAACCGTTTTTTACTACATGCATATGAATATAAATACGGTATATACACCAAAACCGATTTTGACGGGACTTTTTTTTTGGCAAGTAGCTGATGTCATAAGGAGTATTTTTTTTTATTGGGTTGTTTGGGCTATTGTCAGATGTAGATGTAGCACCTGTAGCACTGCGACCTACATAGATCTATCGTGCTCGCCCTTTTTCAAAGTTCGCTACTTAGGGTCTAAGTAGCGAACTTAGAAAAAGGTAGGTCAGGGTAATAAGGAGTAACTTAGGCTCCTTTTATTTTAGAAAAATAAAGTTAAATTCCACGCGGACGAAGTAGAGGGAACACTGGCTGTGTTCCCGCTACTTACACTACTATTAAATCAGCTACTTGCCAAAAAAAGGCCCGTCAAAATCCGTTCAGCCATTTCAGATATTAGCTGGAACAAACAGACAGAAAATAATAAAATAAGATGTAATGGGTGTACGGTATACATAGTTAATTCATTAACAAACAAGAGTAAACCATTGTATTGACATCTTTAGTCCGTAATTACACCTATGGCACAGATAATATAATCCTATGGTATGTTTACTATAACATGAGACAGTTATTTCCAAATGATAATAATAATATTTGTCTTCCGCTTAAAAAACCTCCATTCTCATAATTCATCATTTATACTGTCATTGTTTGGTGATTTCTACCCGCAATGAGAAGTCTATTACCCCATCAAAGGGAGATATGTAATGTACATATAAAGAAACTAGCTGTCCCGGCAAACGTTGTTTTGCCTTAAAATATAAAAAAAGTTAGTGGTGGACTACCCCTAACATTTAGGGGGATGAAAAATAGATATAGGCCGATTCTCAGACCTACTCAATACGCTCACAAAATTTCATGAGAATCGGTCAAGCCGTTTCGGACGAGTATGGGAACGAAAACTGTGACACGAGAATTTTATATATAAGATAATAATAATAAATTCAAATCAGATAGTTAATAGATTAAGATAAAAATTAATACAATTGTGTTCTTGTTTTGCTGTTAAAGTGAAACATTGTTCCGAATGATTCATAGAATAAAATAGCTATTACACTAGTACCTGTTACTATATATATATATCGTCGGTTAACTAGAAAAATGCCACTATTCAAAATGTACATTTTTTACAAGACAAGCAATTAAAGTTTTTTAAATTTATTGAAATTAATTTACACAGAAGTATTATATATAATGTTAAAAGTGTTTAGATAATGATTAAGACGGCGCGGTTAATTTAATTGACTTATATAAAAGGAGGCAATTCTAGCTTCTAATTTTGAAAAAAGTATATTTTCTATTTAATCGACGATATATACTCTTTACTTGCTTAGATATATTATTGTACTCGATAGAACCGATTTCAATTTTGATAAGATTAGTATGTGGTTAGGACAAAATGAGAGTCGTGTCGTATCAAGATTATGATGGAAGAGAATATTCCACCGACACTTAAATTATGAATGAATGAATGAGTATGTGGTTGTCCAGATTATTAAGAATATTCACAATGTTATTAGCATAGACAAAACCACTCTCTTTTGACGTCGGTTAAAGGAAATAGAATAGTATTCTTCATTGAAATAGAAATAGAAATAATCTTTATTCTAATAAACTTAATGTAAATACTTATGAATAGTCATATTTTTATTCTACCGCTCATTCAGAAAGCAGTTACCTATCACAAGAACGAGCAAAACTTGGTGTTGCTCCTCTAAATAAATGTTCAGCATTAAATATTTAGGATTTTGTGTGAATACAAACTGCCAAATAAAGATACACTTTTTTAAAAACAAAGCTTATTTTATTTTATCAACTTCTAATAGTGCGGCTAAAGCAATTTTGCTTACAGTTGATGTTTTATTAGTTTTAAAGTTTAGTTTGTACGAAAGTCCCTAAGCTATATTTTTTTTATATAATATTACTGGGGATTGCCTCACAATTACCGTAAAATATCTCTCGCATTTGGTAATTATTTGATTGTTTATTATTATTAAGAATTGTTCCAATTAGTTTGTAATAATGGGGTTTTTTTTTTGTATGTGATAATGGAATGGTGCATCCCACTGCGCTGACGGTGTACACTGGCGGGGCACCAGTGGAGGATGATAGGATGAACTTGAAGTCAGATCAGTTAGCCCAACGTGACAAATTCACCAGGAATTTAACACGATGTTTTCCAGGGGGAACCGCGTGGAGGTCAACCTGACATGGTACATTGCTAGTAATGGGTTCATTAGTCCACATTACTAACAATCCCATTTCCCCCCTAATAATGGGGTTGACATGTCTGAAAACAAATACCCCAAAATAAATTTAGATTTAAAAAAAACCTCATGCATTTGGCAGTGGTAAACCGCTAGGGTTTGTTGTATGACGACCACTAGCCGTGGATCCTCGTTATACTCACACAAACACGCATATCAACACTTTTATAGCCTACACAATTAGTTGACCGTCAGATTGTTAGCCATTTTAATTATAAAATTAAAATATTATATTATTGTAGTAACGAACAAAAATAAAATATTACAGAAAAACTCCTTTCTTACTTCTAGTAAGCAAGAAAGGAGTTTTTCTGTAATATTGATGGTAGTGTTAACAAAATTCGAATGACAATATAAATAATCGGGTAAATTTTCAGTTATATATTGAAGCAGCTGTTTCACATCTCATGAAGTTGGGTAAATTTGGGACCATTATCTGTAATTCTTCATATAAATAAAATTATATGTATAAATTACAAACAATGGACTATCAGTCCCAAACATTCATACAAATTCTTCACTGTCTGGTCGGGTGAAGGAGCAAATGTTTGATTCACGTAGAGAAACAGAAAAAAAACATAAATGATATAAATAATTGAATTTTTTCATCTATATACCTGCATATAAATAAAATTGGGTGTCTGTTTGTAATATTGAAATAACCGTTTTATACTACATGTTAATAAAAATACGGTACATTTGGTATATGTATAACATTTTTTTTACAATTTTTATCTGTCTGTTTGTTCCGGCTAATCTCTGAAATGACTGGACCTATTTTGACGGGACTTTTATTGACCGCTGATATAATAAGCAGTAACTTAGGCTACTTTTATTTTAGCAAAATAAAGTTAAATTCCACGCGGACGAAGTCGCGGGTACAGCCACTCACAGCGAGTTACTGCTCTCACCCACTCTTAGGACTGTGTGTAAATCTTGACAATTTTTTAATATATTCTCTTTTGAAACATTTTGTTATATCGTAAAGAAAACGAGAATTCTCAAAATGTTGATTCAAAGATTTTATAACTCTATCCAAAAAATGTAACATTGGTGTAATAACCAATTTCCTTGCCTAACTACAATGCACCGTAAACAAGAATTGGATAATATTCATAAAGACATGAAAGACCGTGTTCTGCGTGTTAGTCTACAATAACAATATGTTTACAATAAGAAACCCTACGGCCATTACAAACCAGATGGCTAGAAAATAGTAACGGTGTTATTTCATCACAATAAGCCGACAAATAATCATTGTGTTGCTGAACAATAAACGGCACCCAAACAGATGTTCTTTAAAAAACATATGTGGTAGGTCAGTATTGCCAGGTACTTGCTAGCTGGTTTTTTTTATTATTTATTGCTAGACGAGTAATTATATCAATATATGCATTCGCGAGACTTCGAGACGCGAGGTCCGCTGGACCATGAGGTCCTTTGGACCGCGAGGCCGTAGGCGGTGGCGCACGTCGTCCACGTCTTACGTCGGTGACGCCTCTGACGGTAAAACCTAGTAATTATATTATATACTAGCTATACCCGCGACTTCGTCCGCGTGGAATTTAACTTTATTTTTCTAAAACAAAAGTAGCCTAAGTTACTCCTTATTACATCAGCTACCTGCCAAAAAAAGTCCCGTCAAAATCGGTCCAGCCATTTCAGAAATTAGCCGGAACAAATAGACAGACAGACAAAAATTGTAAATAATGTTATTTTGGTGTATGTACCGTATTTATATTCATATGCATGTAGTAAAAAACGGTTATTTCAATATTACAAACAGACACTCCAATTTTATTTATATGTATAGATTTCATAATGTCTCTGACTAACCAAACTGGAATTATAATAAAGAAAAATCTTTTTTATGAGCCCTAAATCAAATTCAATCAATTCGCGCTTCTTAACACCGATCCTAACTGATTGTTTTCCAAATTAAAATGTCAAAATCAAACAATGACAAGTGAATGAAAATTTGCAAACTCGAAGTCCCAAACACTGCTATGCCAATTAGAAAGAAGAAAACAAGATTCACACGCAGAGTCGATTCAGTTAGTCATTAAGTTTTAACAAATAATGAAAAAAACCTTATCTTCTTGTTTTGTCAGTTGCAATTTTAGTGTTTAAATTGTGTATTTTATTTTCCTATCAGAATTTGTAATATATTTCTTATTGGATTTTAAAATAAAAAGTTATTTACACCACCAGAACTTTATTTCTGTCGAATACTCCATAGTTCTTTAAAGTACAATGTGTTCTTGGACTAGTAAATATGCCATATTACGGGATCTCTCAGAAGTGCAAGGTCACGTGCCGAGCGAAGTTGCTGGCACCTCTGGCGCTGAACCTCCTCCAACGTTGCAACTTACAGAAGGTTTGGAAGATTTTTTTATGTGTATATAATGTCAAACAACCTGACGATTCACCTGCATTAACTAGAACTGTTACCTATGACCATATACAGCATCATGGTTTTTTTAAATATAGCAAGTACAATATTGTCATGTTACCAATAAGTAATAATAATAATCTCAGGACAATTCACACAGCGCCATCTAGACCCATGTTAAACTAGCTAAAGCTTGTGTTATGGGTACTAGATAACTGATACATATACATAGATATTTTTTTTTGTAAATACATACATAAAAAAAACAGTAACAGTTATCTAGTACCCATAACGGTACTAGATAACTGATACAATTCTTTTTTGTTTGCATATACATAGATATTATATATAGAAAATGAATGGATCACAGAATGGTGTCCACAGGAAATGAGGTTACTGCAAAGGCACTGAGATGGTTGACAAGTGTAGGTCTATGTTTGGGATGGAATAGAAAATCATTTATTCAAATAAACTTACATTGAAGCACTTTTGAATAGTCATCACATTTTCAATCTACCACTTATTCAGAAAGCTGTCGCATCACAAGAAGTATGAGCAAGAAACTTGTGTGTTGCTCTTTTAATCAATTTTGTTGATACTTTACATTTTTAAGTTGAAGTGTGTAAAAATATAGATAGCATACACTTATTGTTGTCCGGTAAAGAACCATGATACTTTTATTTTTAATTCTGTTTATTACATGTGATGTTAACACAAAGTCACTGACACTTCCTTTTTATTGCCTTATTAATACCATTACATAATTACCATTAGGTAATTCCTTATAATTAATTGAATTAATAATTAATTATGCATATCAAAATAATTAGAAATGACTTAACTGAGGTTTATAGAACACTATAAACTCTCTTACTATATTTAATACAGAGGAAAGTGGTGTAATGTGAATGATGCTTATATATAAAAAAACAATGTGTGCACAATGTTGCTGATGTCAGAACATTATTGATGCGTGTAAGGAGGAGTGTAACAGAAATAGAAATAGAAATAATCTTCATTCAAACAAACTCATTACACACACTTTTGAATAGTCATATTATGATTCTACCACTCATTTGGAATGCAGATTCATCACAAGAAGAGTGATCAAGCAACTTGTGTGTTGCTCTTTTGAATAGTTGTTTTTTTTATATACTTAAATAATTACAGTATAACAAGTAAGAGGCATGCGGTAATCAACATAGAAATCGCTATGCACTCATTATTACTGTAATCAGATAATATTGTCAGTACTATGGATTTTAAGTTTTTCTATAAAAACATAAATAAACAAATAGTATAGTGAACTTGTTCTTTGATGTATTTCATTTAAATTTCAGAGACTGAGGAGGAATATTTCAGCAACTGTGCTGGAGCTGGTGACTGTGTGATAGCTCCACCTGACTTAAGCCTCATTAAGGAAATGTTGGACATGGTAAATATTTTTATATCTGGACTAGCTGACCCAGCAAACATTGTTTTGCCATATAAAAATAATGTAGCTATAAAATAATAGGATTTGGTGATAGAAGGGTGAAAATTTAGGGTTGTATGTATTTTTAATGCCACATTATAAAAAAATAAAAAATAAAGATTGTCCAAAAATATAAAACAAATGTTAGGGGTGGACAACTTTTATCACTTAGGGGTACGAAAAATAGATAGTAGCTGATTCTCAAAGCTAATGAATATGCATATAAAATTTCATAAAAATCAGTCAAGTCATTTTAAGAAATAGAAATAGAATTAATATTAATTATTTAAATAAAGATTAAATAAACTCACTTTTGAATAGTGATATTTTATATGACTATTCTATAGCTAAACAGCTACTGCACACTACTTCATGTCTGATGGTCATGGGTTCAATTCCTCGCACGGTGCAAACATTTGTATTCAAAAGTATGATTGTTTGTATTGGTCTGGGTGTTTTCTATGTATAGTATGTATTTACAAAAAAAAAATAAGTATTTATATCAGTTGTTATGTGTACTAGCATAACACAAGATCTGCTTGCTGTAGAACTAGATGGCGCTGTGTTAATTTTCCAGCGCTATTATTTATGTATGTATATACATAAGTTTGTTACTTATGTATTCTGGAAAATTAAACAAACTTATGGTTTTATTCTGGAACATCCCTACCTAATGTTGTTATCATTTCAGGTGAAGGATGATAACTCCACATCACCAATTTCTGGTGAAGGAGATGGTGAAAACAAAGCAAGAATAAACACAAATTGTACCAAATTTATACCAAAAGACACAAATGAAACGACAAACAAAATTGCCAGTCCAAAAACAATAATACAGGATGATAAAGAAAAAAACGTCAAATCGAAAAAATTAAGAAATGCTGCAGTTATTTCTTTACTGGATGCTAAGAATGAAACAGATACAATGAAACTTTTGAAACCCAATGATTTTCTAAACAGCAATGTAAATGAATCTTTTTCAAAAGCAAATAAAGATAATGCTATAGAAAGTAATATAAGTGAATCCCTTCAGAAAGTGGATGAGCGGCAGAATTCTCAATCCCAAAATGGATCTGTATTGCCAAATTTAACATCTAGTGTAAGCATGTTCAAAAAGAAAAATTCTGTAAAAAATAAGTCTAATGATTCTCAAGTGGTGATGAAAAAAGCTATTGAAAATTATACTCCATCGGGATGTGCAACACAATATTATGAGAAGTATGTAGAGAACGCTAAACTAAATGAGTCCAAACATGAAGATATTTGGACAAGGTTGGAACATATGATGAGAGAAGCTGATGCCAAAAAGTAAGTGTTACTAGTAAAGTGCGAAAACACACTTCACACTTCACTAATTAATAATAATAATAATAATAATAATCATCTCAGGACAATTCACACAGTGCCATCTAGACCCAAGTTAAGACAGCTAAAGCTTGTGTTATGGGTACTAGATAGCTGATACATATACATAGATATTTTTTTTGTAAATACATACATATTATACATAGAAAATACTTAGACCGATACAAACAATCATACTCATGAATACAAATGTTTGTGCCGTGCGAGGAATCGAACCCGCGACCATCGGTCATAAAGCAGTGTTCTAGACCGCTAGATCACAGAGGTCGTCATTACTTCTTTCATCCAATTGTAAAGGAAAACAAGTGCAGCCTGAAAAAAACACTTTTGTTTATTATTAACTACTAGCTACTCCCCCGGTTTCGCACGGGTGTACACGTATTATATATATATATATAAACCTTCTGCTTGAATCATTTTTATCTACTAAAATAAACCGCATCAAAATCCGTTGCGTAGTTTTAAAGATTTAAGCATACATAGGGACGGACAGACGGCGACATCGACTTTGTTTTATACTATGTAATGAAACAGAAAAAAATACTTTATCAAAGATGTAAGTAACTGATGAAGATGCAGAGGTAACTTTCAATTTATAAATTTCGATATGAAATATAGCCTTTGGGTTATTCTCTATTATTTTATTGTAAAGTTTCATCAAAATCTGTTCAGCAGTTTTTGCGTGAGAGTAACAAACATCCATCCTTACAAGTTTTCGTGTTTATAATATTATTAAGATATATTTGGAACGGAAAACAAAATTCTTCGATTATTATTTTATTACTCACAGAAAAAAAAAGTGACAAACTAATGTAGGTAAGATACAGAGGTAACAATAGGCGGCTTTATTAGTCGTAGCCTATTGCTGCAACTCTTTCCTCTCTTGTGACAGTTTGTCACATTTGTCATACTCCCCAATGTCTTTGTCACATATTAAAAAAAAAGGAATTCAATTGATTTTCTTGCCAATTCTTCACTGAATTCGGATCTATATACTGAACTGGACGGTAGGGAAAAAATTATAATATAAAAAATTTGATGTTCATATTTATTTATATTGCATATTTTCATGTATATTCATCAATATTTTTATTTTAGGAAAACAGAAATGGCTAATCATGAGGTCACCTGCAAAGAACAGGAAACAACAGGTATTGTAGCGTATAAGTTATAATAATAATAATCTCAGGACAATTCACACAGTGCCATCTAGTCCCAAGTTAAGCTATCTAAAGCTTGTGTTACGGGTACTAGATAACTGATACAAATACATAGACATTTTTTTTTCGTAAATACATACATATTATACATAGAAAACACCCAGACCGATACAAACAATCATACTCATGAATACAAATGTTTGTGCCGTGCGAGGAATCGAACCCACGACCATCGATCGGATAATAAATAAATAAATTTATATTCAGTTGTCTAGGGGTCCCTAGGGGTTTTGGTATTGGGACTAGATGGCGCTATGTTAATTGTTCAGGGTTATTTATTTATTTATTATTATTATAAGATCATGTAATATTTAATTGTTTAACTATAAACTAAATATTAGTTCAATAAACATTATTACATACTACATATAAAATTATATTAATGTTACATAATGTTACATATTATGGTTTTCATAATATAGAAATGTTTTGTGGCGGCGCGGCGTGGTGGGCCGGGTCATTGGGCTCCCTAAAATATGGTCGAGCGCAGTGGTGGCTGGATGATCCGTCATAATCGAAGACGAGTGCTGCTTGTAGGGACTGCTCTGCTCTTATCACTATGACTGATTTAATCTTACTGTGTATTTATATTTGACCCTAATAAATTAGTGCTGGTTGGTAGTTTGTATTCACATGTTTCGACTTGTAAAATGTGAACTTACAAGTTTCTTGCTCGTTCTTCTTGTGATGAGACAGCTTTCCGAATGAGCGGTAGATTAAAAAAATGTTATGACTATTTAAAAGTGCTTAAATTAAGTGTATTTGAATAAATGATTTTCTATTCTATTCTATTCTATTCTTTTGTTTTTCAGCGGTCGACAGATTGGACGTGGTAAGGTTACGACAGCATCGGCACGAACTGACCGGAGAATGCATAGTATGCAAAGTAATGTGTACTAGTACATAGAATACTGTGAAATATTAACAACTCTGTGATACATAGCAATAAGGTTGTGTTTCTCAACATTTTTTTTCGATACTCAAAATGATCGTTAAAAAAATGTTGCAGATTCCTTATAGTATTTAATATATTATTATATTATTTGGTTGTTTGTAATACTTTTGCGTTATTTCGTTTTGTTTAGACATAACCATTTTGGATTGTGTTGAATTTAATTACTAGTTAAATGTATTATTTTTTAAAGTAAATACAATATATATATGTATATTAAGCAAAGAAAAATGTCAATGTACAACGAGGGATAACAATAAATATGTTATCCCTAGTTGTATACCGGCCTGGACCTATCCGCGAGTATGATCTACTCTGCAGTCCGTAAGGAACCGAAGGAGACAAGATTGATCTCGCTTCCCTGGGTATAAGAGATCTGCATTTCAAGATCGTGAAGACTTGCACGAGTCTTTTCTTGGGAAAGGAATCCGAGTTCCCAGACGGAAGATAAGGCCGATGCATTGGTTCGGTCGAAGTTCTTTCTGAACGGTATGATCCGCATCACCAGGCCCGTCAAGACGACCAAAATAAGGATGATGGGCCTGGATGGCTGACGTGGCGCAACAGGGCAAGTGTACTGCGGATGCCGTTAAAGTCGGAGATATTGGGTGCGTCAGGCTTGAGCACCTGTTGGATGCCGTGTTATTGGCCCCGGTTAAGCGGATTGCGGCGCCAGAGCGTATCAAGACCGGCCGGGTCTCCGTCGCTGAGCTGCTAAGGCCGCTTCGGTGTTTCGAGTGCCTCTAGAGCGGGCACTTAATGGCAAGGTCCTCGTACGAGGAGGACCGTAGTACCTTTTGCTACCGGTGTGGGTCTACTGTAGTACCTTTGCTACCATAAAGCAGGTGGGTGTTCATCGGTTCCACACCGAGTGCTTTGCGCAGTAGGTCGCCCAGCTGATTACCGGGTGAAGATGGGATTTGCCATGTCCTCATTCAGGATCAATGATGCCTGGGGAGAGGCTAAGGTGATGAACTAAATGAATAATGGCTGTTCGTCTTATACAGGGTAATTTAAACTACTCTGTGCCCAGGAACTACTGGAGAGAGGCTTAGGACATACAGTCAGTTATGGCGGTACATCGTCCAATTTAAATTACTACGCGCTCAAGATCTACTATTGCAAGGCGCGGTGCAGTGCCTGTCCAATATTGGGACCTTGTATTGATCACCGAACAGTACTGCGTCCGACGGAGGGACTAGTTCGGCAGATCTGGCATGGTCACTGCGAGCACGGGAGAGAATTCCGCGGCCCTGCTCGTCAGCAGCCTAGAGATAAACACCGGTCGGTAATGGCGGGACATCGTCCAATTTAAACTACTACGCGCCCAAGATCTACTATTGCAAAGCGCGGCGGAGTGGCCGACCAATATTGAGACCTTGTATTGATCACTGAACAGTACCGCATTCGACAGAGTGAACTGGTTTGGCGCCTCTAGCATGATGGCCACTGCGAGCGCGGGAGAGAATTCCACGGCCCTGTTGAAGGTCGACGACGACGTGGGCTGGTTTAGCGAGACTATCACATATATGCGACGTGGAGAAGCAATGAGCCAGCCCTCGTCCTCCTGATGTCCTGGGTAGTCTGCTATAATCGAACCTTATAGCGCCGGTACTGTAGCGAGGAGAAGACACCTCGTGGTTTTTGCTGTTATGAGTTCGGAAGTACCTGTCTGCCTCCCCCAGGGCGGGAAGTGTCTATGATGATAAGCTGAACATGAGGTCAGATAGCCCACTGTGACAAATTTACCAGGAATTTATCATGATGCAGCATTGGCCACTGCGAGCACGGGAGAGAATTCCACGGCCCTGCTCGTCAGCAGCCTGTTGGAGATCGACGAAGAGGTTGGGCTGGTTTGGCCAAGCTCTGTGATGAGTCCTCGTCCTCCTAGGAGACAAATGTACCGGTGGTTGGAGAAAATAGCGGCTCTGAGAGAGGAATAACAAGGCTTCCTGTAATGCATTTTTCAACATAGTTCTATTATTCGATTACTACTTATTAATGTCCTGGGTAGTCTGCTATCTGGTACTGTAGCGAGGCGAGGAAATTTTGTAGTTTTTAGCCGGTAGAAGTCTGACAGTACCCGTCTGTCGCCCCCGGGAACGGGCGGAGTCCATGACGGATTTTCCACAAGTGAAGGTTATACTTATTGATGTACTCGAATATAGATGTTTTTGTTTTTTACTGCGTTGTTTTACAACAAACTGCTAGTCTGTTCTAAATATGTTCGAAAAAAAGAATTTTAATGTTGTATAAAAACCTTTGCAAATAAAGCTTATTACAAAATTTAAGAGTACACACAGATCGTAACATTATTTTTAGTTCTTGGATTAAAGTGTAAAGAAAATATAATAAAAGAAAGTATACAAGTATTTACCTAAATCCCTAAATAAATATAAGAATTAAAAAAAAATTACCTGTTAAATCAGCTGTTTTTTTATGACTATAAAGTATAACATATCTTATATGTCTTAAGCAATAGCTTCTTGAAACTATTTTTAGTTCCAATTATCAACTTGTATTATTCTGTAAGAAAATAAATACTTCATTTATAAATTTAGTTTGTTTTTTCTCTCCCAGATCTCTGAAACTTTTTTACTTTGTAAGTCCTATGTGTAACTTCAAAATATATTGTTTTACAGTAAATGTGTGATTTCTATATTAGTGAGTAAGTATGGATATTTGTTACGCTTTCACGCAAAAACTACTGAACCGATCATCATGAAATTTTGTACACATCTTTTTGGAGGTATTAGAATGAACATAGGATAACTTTTATTATAAAAAACAAATATTAAAAAAAAATATCTAAATCTTGCTAATTTAGCGCCAACTAACAGCCAGTAGTAAAATTATGCGAGCCAAGCCGCGGGTAAAAGCTAGTATTATATAAATACATGATGTTAAAATACACCATTTTCGCAATTAGCCACCGTGAACACGAAATGGAAAAAGGCTGTTGTATTCTATTGCCATGAAAAATTCAGTGACTTAAGTTGAATAATATTAATTTGCAACGAGACGCGAAGGTTGAAAAATAAGTAGGAGCATTGTAGAAACGTTTGCTGTACACCATGGATGAACAACACGCGGCCCGCGGGTCGTTTGCGGCCCGTTGGACGTGGTTTGCAGTATACTAGGGATGAGCAACATGTGGCCCGTTAGACGTGGTTTGTAGTATACCAGGGATGAGCAACATGCGGCCCGCAGGTCGTTTGCGGCTCGTTAGACGTGGTTTGCAGTATACCAGGGATGAACAACACGCGGCCCGCGGGTCGTTTGCGGCCCGTTGGACGTGGTTTGCAGTATACTAGGGATGAGCAACATGTGGCCCGTTAGACGTGGTTTGTAGTATACCAGGGATGAGCAACATGCGGCCCGCAGGTCGTTTGCGGCTCGTTAGACGTGGTTTGCAGTATACCAGGGATGAACAACACGCGGCCCGCGGGTCGTTTGCGGCCCGTTGGACGTGGTTTGCAGTATACTAGGGATGAGCAACATGTGGCCCGTTAGACGTGGTTTGTAGTATACCAGGGATGAGCAACATGCGGCCCGCAGGTCGTTTGCGGCTCGTTAGACGTGGTTTGCAGTATACCAGGGATGAACAACACGCGGCCCGCGGGTCGTTTGCGGCCCGTTGGACGTGGTTTGCAGTATACTAGGGATGAGCAACATGTGGCCCGTTAGACGTGGTTTGTAGTATACCAGGGATGAGCAACATGCGGCCCGCAGGTCGTTTGCGGCTCGTTAGACGTGGTTTGCAGTATACCAGGGATGAACAACACGCGGCCCGCGGGTCGTTTGCGGCCCGTTGGACGTGGTTTGCAGTATACTAGGGATGAGCAACATGTGGCCCGTTAGACGTGGTTTGTAGTATACCAGGGATGAGCAACATGCGGCCCGCAGGTCGTTTGCGGCTCGTTAGACGTGGTTTGCAGTATACCAGGGATGAACAACACGCGGCCCGCGGGTCGTTTGCGGCCCGTTAGACGTGTTTTTCAGTATACCAGGGATGAACAACACGCGGCCCGCGGGTCGTTTGCGGCCCGTTGGACGTGGTTTGCAGTATACTAGGGATGAGCAACATGTGGCCCGTTAGACGTGGTTTGTAGTATACCAGGGATGAGCAACATGCGGCCCGCAGGTCGTTTGCGGCTCGTTAGACGTGGTTTGCAGTATACCAGGGATGAACAACACGCGGCCCGCGGGTCGTTTGCGGCCCGTTAGACGTGTTTTTCAGTATACCAGGGATGAACAACACGCGGCCCGCGGGTCGTTTGCGGCCCGTTAGACGTGTTTTTCAGTATACCAGGGATGAGCAACATGCGGCCCGCGGTTTTGCAGTATGCAACAAGCGGCCCGCGAGTCGTTTGCGGCCCGTTGGACGTATTTTGCAGTATACCAGGGATGAGCAACACGCGGCCTGCGAGTTGTTTGCGGTCCGTTAGAAGTAATTTGCAGTATTCCAGGGATGAGCAACATGCGGGCCGCGGGTCGTTTGCGGCCCGTTAGACGTGGTTTGCAGTATACCAGGGATGAGCAACATGCGGCCCGTTAGACGTGTTTATGCGGCCCGTCAAGCATTTCTAGAATAAAATTTATTTGTTAGACTATCTCCCATCCATATATAGTCATAAAATTAATTATAATAACATGGTAGTACATTACATTACACTATACCGAAACAATTCTCTCTCGTCAGAGAAAACTGGTAGGCTATTTTTTCACACATGTAAAACGAACGCGCCGCGTCATTTCATTTCCCTTTTTCTTTATTCTAATGTTTATTATATCATAATATACTTTTGTAAGTTTTTAATAAGTTACCTTCTTTTTGTGCGGGGCATTAAAATTTGTATTTAAAATATTTACTTTTTTTAAGTTCATACTTTTTTATTCGAATGTTTGTTATAAACAAAATTCTGTAAATCATTATATAGTATAAAAAAGTCGCTGTTGCTGTCTGTCCGTCTCTATGTATGCTTAAATCTTTAAAACTAAGCAACGGATTTTGAAGCGGTTTTTTTAGTAAATAGAGTGATTCTAGACGAAGGTTTATATATGTATAATACATGTACACCCGTGCGAAGCCTGAGTGGGTAGTTAGTTATTAATAAGATACTTATTGTGCGGCCCGTTAATAAAAACAAATTTTAAATCGGCCCGCTGATGAAAAAGGTTGATCACACCTGCTGTACACCATATACGTCTAATTGCCTTAGTTATTTGCTGTCGAAGTAGTTACAATTCAGTACATACAAACTTGTCAGTTGTATCGGCGCGTGCGCATCAATCATGCGTGTGACAGATTCATCCCGTGTTATACTTGTGTCAATTGGATTTTAAAACTAAAAATTTGCGTTCAACACATATTTATATCTATAATTAAGGTATGTATCTAAATTTTACTTTCTGTTCTTAATTATATATCTACATAGTACTTAAAATATGACTTAAAATTTCTGTTCCCGCGGGAATTATAGCCTATACAGGGGGATGGTAGAACTTTCTATTAGAATGTTTTGTGATAATATGATATTTAAATCTATGATAAAGGTATGTACCTAAAGATTATCTTTTGTTCTGAATTAGTTATTAACTAGCTTTTGCCCGCGGTTTCGCTCGCGTTATTTTATCCCCTTCAGGGTGGAATTTATCAAAATCCTTAGGAGATGCCTACGTCATAGTAGCTTTATGCATGCAAAGTCTCAGCCCGATCGGTTTAAAATTGACAAAGTTTCATACAAACTTTCATCCCCTATTTTATCTCCTTGAGGGTAGAATTAATCAAAATCCTTTCTTAGCGATGCCTACGTCATAACATCTACCTGCATGCCAAATTTCAGCCCGATCCGTCCAGTGGTTTGGGCTGTGCGTTGATTGATCACTACGTCAGTCACCTTTGAGTTATATAATATATTTAGATTATGAAGTGGTTTGGTATGGCTACGTTATGAGACGAGATGAGAGTCATATGTCTAAAAAATGTCTAGAACCTTATCACCGGCTTAAAGAGACGAGAAAATCCCCTACTCACTCGGCAGTCCGTTATCAATAACGACCTAAAGAGAACCGAAGTAAACGACTCTTATATTATGACGTGAAGAGAGTCATATGACGAAATAATGTCATGAACCTTGACACCGGCCCAAAGAGACAAGAAAGAATACTACTAACTTGGCAATTTTTTATCAATAACGACTTCAAAAAACTGATATAGGTACGACTCGACGACCCAAAACAGATGAGTAGTCATTTAAGTAGTCGTTTATAAAATAAATGACTACTTAAATGACTACAATGTGTGGACTTAATTAGAATAGAATAGAATAGAAAATCATTTATTCAAATAAACTTAATTTAAGCACATTTGAATAGTCATAACAATTTGTTTTTTATCTACCACTCGTTCATTAATTACAATTTTAACTTTTGTTATGAGGTATATAATTTACCCATTGATATAGATAATGTAATAACATTAAAGAAACTTATTACAAATTTTGTAATGACATTGTAAATTAAATAATCTAAATTTAATATTGTAATGGTTGAAAACTGTGATTGGTACAGTTTATGCTGTAAATAATATAAATGACGTAGTGGAGTAACTTGAAACAGTCATGCTAGCTATAAAGTTTAAACTTGTGGCGGCGCGGGCGTGGTGAGCCGGGTCGATGTGCTCCCTCAAATATAGTTGAGTGCAATGATGGCTGGCTCATCCGTCATACTCGTGAACGAGGGCTGCTTGTGGGGACTGGTCTGTTCAGGTTGCGAACACTGATTACTGGTCACTCTATACTCCCAAATTTGAATTTTAATGACTGTGTATTATTATAAACATGTTCCACTATTATTTGAAAAACATACGAGCTGAGTTTTTTGTCATTTCTTCTCATCTCGATAACACTCCGAACTGACGGTAGATTTGACATCATAAGAGTCTGTAATAGACCTACATGAATAAAGATATTTTGAATTGAAATGATTGAGTTAGGACTAGGAGAGCCGGGCCCAAATGAAATGGGGAAAAGGTTAGGTAGAGAGAGAGAGAGAGAGAGAGATTCTTATTAATAGCTATACCTATTTAAACATTTGGTCAACAACGATATATCTACTTAATACAGTCAATAATTGTCCTAAACAATAGGGTATTCACTATGTAATGATAAATTAGATTAAGACTGAGTTACAAGTTTGTAGTCCTACTTATATAAGTGGTAGATTGTAACAATTCATCTCCATGGGATCACGTTCTCAAAAACAAAATTCCAGATGATTAATTAAATTTCAATTTTAAACTTAGTTATATCATTACATAGTATAAAATAAAGTCAACAGCGAGCTTAAATCATTAAGACTAGATAACGGATTTTGAAGCGGTTTTTTAATAGATAGAGTAATTCAAGAGGAAGGTTTATATGTATAATACATGTACACCCGTGCGAAGCCGGGCCTCGTAACTAGTAATATAATATAGTTATCTGTGATAATACTAACTGGCCTCCGCAACTTCGTCTGCAGAATGCATATCTGTTATTCTAATGTATAAAATATATTACTGTTAACATTATATTCAACTCGTGTCATCAGAAGAGTTATTATAATCAGAGATTCATCAAAATCCGTTTTGTAGTTTTTGCGTAAAAGAGAAGCAAACATCCATCCATACATCCATCCACTCACAAATTTTTATATTTACCTAATATTAGTGCAAAATGAACATAAGTTTTAAAACTACAATAATATCATCTTAGTATCACGTGGTATCACCTATTTTTACCATCTACAGCTTACTTTGAAATCTGAAGGATTACAAAGAACTTGTTCTTAAGAACTGGTTCTTAGGTTAAGATTAAGCAGAGAAATCTTGTGATAAGGGATGACATCTTAGTCCTCTAAAATAATATGAGTATCACGAGTGTCACATGATAACGTGATGTCCGTAGTGCTGCTCATGTATATAGGAGACAGTTGTCGCTTGCTATCAAGTGCTTGTTTGCTATTACAATTACATAGTATGTTATATGTTTGAACACGTATGTTGTATATTTGAACACTAGCTTTTGCACGCGGCTTCGCTCGCGTTAATTTATACCCTTCGGGGTGGAATTTATCAAAATCCTTTCTTAGAGGATGCCTATGTCATAGTAGCTTTATGCATGCAACTTCTCAGCCCGATCGGTTTAAAATTTACAAAGTTTCATACAAACTTTCATCCCCTATTTTTTTATTAATCAAAATCCTTTCTTAGCGGATGCCTACGTCATAACATCTACCTGCATGCCAAATTTCAGCCCGATCCGTCCAGTGGTTTGGGCTGTGGGTTGATAGATCACTATGTCAGTCACCTTTGAGTTATATATATTTAGATTATTAAAGTTGTATATTGTATTGTCAAAGACTATACTTCTATGCGCCGTTGAGTGATATACATGGTAGTGTGTGTAATGTTTCTTTTTATTGATTAATGTATTTTATGTATAACTTAAAAAAATATTAGCAATCTACACTTCTCTATATAAACTAACTAACTGTACCCGCGACTTCGTCCGTGTAAAATAGTGACCTTGACCAACTAATGAAAAAAATATTTAATGACCTAACCATTCAGGCTCTGAAAATGGCGATATATCCATACAACCTTGCACAAGCTTCAAAAATGACGATTCTTCCATACATTGTTTCATCCCCCCATTTCAACCCTTTGCAACCCTTTTTCGCATTAAAAAGTAGCCTATGTCCTTTCTAAGGGTCTAGACTATCTACGTAAATTTCATTTAAATAGGTTCAGTATTTTTGACGTGAAAGCGAGACAGACAGACAGACAGAGTTACTTTCGCATTTATAATATTAGTATGGAAGTATGGATAGCTGTGCTCGCGACGCGAATAATGGGCTTGGATAGCATTTTTAATTATTTCGGCTAATTGTTTTACAAATAAGACATGATTGACATCGTACTAGATTAAAAAATGACGAACTTCCATACAAATTTGTACTCCTAATTTTATTTTACCCTCTTAAGGGTATTTTTTTTACAAACTCATATATAAGTAGCAAATTTCTAGATTTAAAAATGACAATACTTCCAATCACCCCTTTCAACCCTTTATTTGCAAAAAAGTGGCCTATATCCTTTCTCAGGTTCTAGACTATTTGTGTATCAAATTTCATTTAAATCTGAGGAATTGTGCGAATTACTAGCTGCTGAGTTTCACCACCGTACGATCCGCCAGAAACTAAAATACCATCCTGATCATCTGGATGAATGGCGGAGGACCACCATTAATCCCATCACAATGCGGTTTTCTAGAAACTTTTTGCCACGCCCAACCACATTGTGGCATCACCTTCCAGCAATGGTATTTCCCAACCGATACGATATTGAAACCTTCAAGAAAAGACCTTACTCCTTTTTAAAAGGCCGACAACGTACTTGCAATTCTCTTGCTATTGCGGGTGCTCATGGGCGGCGGTCACTCACTTACCATCAGGTGAGCAGCATGCTCGTTTGTCCCCTGTGTTAAAAAAAAAAAATAGGTTCAGTAGTTTTGGCGTGACAGACAGTGTTACTTTTGTCCACGCAGTTTTCGTAAAATGGGGTACAAAGTTTTGCTTCACGTATAAATATAATAATGATAACTCGATGATAACTTTATAATCATTTGTTTTCAGCGGCAACATGGTTCACGGAACAATTCAACTTGGTTTGGAGAACATTGTACGGGAAACTGTAAGTTTGTTATAAATAAATCTACTAAAACAATATACCTAAAACATAGTGATTACTTGCTATAAGCACCTACCTACTTGCCATATATTTCAGTACTTATATCTCTACCAAAATCTTCAATTTCAATTTTAGTTGTATACGTAAATAACGAGTTTTTCTTTTAAACTATTTCAAACGTCATTTGAAACTCTGTTTTGCATTTATAATATGTTAATACTGATACTTAAATAACATACAGCTAAAATTCTTGATTTGTCGATTTATTTATTAATCTGTGACAATGGCTATAATGGTTATTCCTTGAGCGTTTGTTTGTTTTATTCCTTAATACTAAAATTATAATTTCATTCGAGTATATAACTATTTTGTTAAAAATAATGCTTAAATTTGTTTAAAAATAGAACAATCCGATTTGTTTCTTGCTGTGACAAGTGAGCGGTTTGTCGAGTCGAAATTTAATAATCTGTGGCTATATTAGTTTGCGCGGGAAAATATACAAAACGTGCGTACTTGTCCCTTCTTCGTACAGACTGTGTACAACTTTTTTTAATGAAATGTATAGATGAGGACGATAAAAAAAATATATTTTTTAATTTAAACCAATTCGACTTGTTTTGTATTGACTATAATGTTTTTTTTCCATTTTCTTCCAGCTCCTTTTCAATGATGGAACAGGCAAAGATCATAACACCGTACAGCCTAATTGACATAATAAATGCTGACACATTAGAATTAGATAGGTATTTTATTTAATATAACTTTGTGATTTCTTGCAGAATACAGAAGAAAGCAGACGGAATGGAGACGTGCCTAAAACTGCTATAGTAACATATGGCATCGACGATATCCCGCCGTGGTACCTCTGCATCTTTATGGCTTTGCAGGTAAGTAGGTTCAGATATCCCATAGGTTGTTTTCTATGGATGATAACGGAATGGTTCGCTCACCTGCGCTAACGGTTCACGCTGGCAGGGCACCAGTGCAGGATAAGATAAGAATCAGGTCAGTAGTCCCATCGTGGTAAATTCACCAGGAATTTACCATGATAGTTTCCAGGGGGAACCGCGTGGAGGTCAACCTGATGTGATACATTGCTAGCAGCGGGGTTATTAGTCCACATAACTAACATTCTCCTTCCCCCCTATCATGTATGTTTTATCTACAAAACCATAGTGTAATAACAAAGTTTAGGATTGTTTATTGCACATAGTATTAAAATAATGTATATGTGTGTAGGTATATGAATTTATGATGTTAGATAGTACATATTCACACATATTTTGACTTATTAATGTAAAGTTACAACATTTATTTAAAATATTAACACGCAAGTTTATTCATCGTATATTTTGCGCCGAGACTGAATGTTAGATTAAATAATCTATACATATAAATAACATTGGAGTGTCTGTTTGTAATATTGTAATAACCGTTTTTTACTACATGCATATGAATATAAATACGGTACATACACCAAAATGTCAATTTTTACAATTTTTGTCTGTCTGTCTGTCTGTCTGTTTGTTCCGGCTAATCTCTGAAATGGCTGGACCGATTTTGACGGGACTTTTATTGGCATGAAGCTGATGTAATAAGGAGTAACTTAGGCTACTTTTAGGTATTATAGAAAAAATATTTTATTTTAGAAAAATAAAGTTAATTTCCACGCGGACGAAGTCGCGGGCACAGCTAGTAATATAATAATATCTCAAGATAATTCACACAACTCCATCTAATCCCAAACTAAGCAGAGTTTGTGTTATGCGTACTAAACAACTGATATAAATACGTAGATAAGTTTATATTGTAATTACATACATAATACACATTTTTTTTATTAAATTAGAGATGAAATAATTATATATAAAAAAATAAATAAAAGAACAACAGAATAACAAACAAATAAAGAAAAATCTTATATATAAAATTCTCGTGTCACAGTTTTCGTTCCCATACTCGTCCGAAACGGCTTGACCGATTCTCATGAACTTTTGTGAGCGTATTGAGTAGGTCTGAGAATCGGCCAACATCTATTTTTCATCCCCCTAAATTTAGGTAGTCCACCCCTAAATTTTTTTATTTTATTTTTAAGACAAAATTTTTATTTTCTATTATTTTATGATACAAATACAAAAATACATACAATCCTAAATTTTCACCCTTCTATCATCAACCCCTATTTTTTTATAGCGTCATTAATTTATATGGCAAAACAACGTTTGCCGGAACAGCTAGTATATATATACATATATGTAATAATATATTGTATTTATCGTTCTGTTTATATTTTGTTGCATTTTGTTTATCATTTATTATATTTGTACCGCTAACATTTATTCTCTGCACCACCAATGGTTGCCTGGTAGAAAATGCCGCATGGTGTTAAGTCCGCCAAATGTACTTTACTATATTTTGTATATTGTGTGCATTGAAGTTAAATAAATAAATAAATAAAAAATAATATTAAAAAAAACAGTACTTTAGTACTTATATTTATACTAATAATAAAGTAAAATACATTTCCTATCCACCACTGCAGAGCATCATCCATTATTCAATGTTGTTTTAAATAAACAATATTTCTATTCTATAAAAAAATACTAGCAACGGGAATTGTTAGTAATATGGACTAATAACCCCATTGTTAGCAATGTACCATATCAGATTGTGGTCATGGTTCCCCTGGAAACCACCATGACTCATCATGAATTTATCGCTCTCTAACTACTACCTCCACTGGTGCCCCGCCAGCGTAGACCGTTAGCGCAGGCGTGAGCACTATTCCATTATCATCTATAAGAAAAAATTACTAGTCATTTTGTTCCAGCACTACCTTACAATGATCGGTGCTATAGTGGCCATCCCTTTCATCCTGTGCCCGGCTCTGTGCATGCAGGAGACAGATCCGGATAGATCTAACATCATATCCACCATGATTTTTGTTACAGGTACCTACTTTTTTTAACTATTCAAATTCAAATTCAAAAATCATTTATTCATGTAGGACATTTTAGCCGCTTATGAACGTCAAGTTTTACATTATAATTTTTTTCCCTACCGTCCAGTTCGGTATATAGATCCAATTGAGAAGAACTGGCAAGAAACTCAATTGAATTACTTTTTTTTTAAATCCAGTTTATTTACAATGCATTTATATAGGTGTCTATGTCTAACATTAAATGAAAATTCAGTGCATGAACAACTATTGCCATGCACGCTCGTCGTTCAAGTAATCGTTTAGTGAGTAATAGGCCTTGCTCAGTAAATATGATTTAACAGATGTTTTGAATTTATTTAAGGGTAATTCCAATATATCTTTTGGTATCTTATTGTAAATTTTTATACCTATTCCCATAAAAGACCTATTGACTTTTTCTAAACGATACTTGGGGACAGCAAGTTTGGACAGCAAGCAAATCTATCTTATTTACTTACTTAATAAGTATTTACTGTTACTTGTTACTCTTTCACGCAAAAACTACTGAATAGATTTTGATGAAACTTTACAGAAATATAGCTCATGCATCAGAATAACACATAGGCTATATTTTATATTGAAATTTTACGCGGGGATACCGCTGGCACACCTAGTAATAATAATAAAAGATATACAGCGCCATTTACTCCCAAACTAAGCAGAGCTTGTATTGTGTTATACGTAGATAGATTTTCTTTGTAAATACATACATATTTATATAAAAGTAATAATAACGTAGAATAATTTACACAGCGTCATAGTCCCAAGTTAAACAGAGTGTGTGTTATGGTACTAGACAACTGATATAAATATATAGATACATTTATTTGTGAATATAAATATTATACATGTGGATGGTTATAAGGGCAGAGGAAGGCCGAAAAAGAGATGGATGGACTGTGTGAAAGATGATATGGTAAGAAAAGGTGTAAATAACGATATGATTGCGAACAGGGATGAATGGAAGCGAAAACATATTACGCCGACCCCAAATAAATGGACCCCATATAAATATTATACATAGAAAACGCCCAGATTCATACAAACAATCATACAAAAGTTTGTACTGTGCGAGGAATTGAACCCGCGAGGCGCGAACGTAGTAAACAAGGCGGTGCGGTGTACTGAACACCCAGACCACCGAGATGTCAAATAAAGCGTACCTCGGTTAAAGCTGAGACAAGTTCTTCCCCCGGACAGTTTCAAATTTATTGGGTAGTGTGTCCGATAAAGCGGAAATGCCAACGTGGATATCATTGCCACCAATGATAGAACTCACAGAACTCCTGGAGTTCTTATGTGAACTCATAAGAACTCCAGAAGTGAGTTCTAATAAATTATGCGATTTTTTTTATTATTTTTGACCTATACCAATACGAATTCAATATTCATAGTTGGTCTAGCGGCTGTGCACACCGCCTTACTTCCGATAGTCGCGGGTTCAATTCCTCGCACGGCACAAATAGAAATAATCTTTATTCAAATAAACTTAATATAAGCACTTTTGAATAGTCAAGTTTTTTTATTCTACCGCTCATTCGGAATGCAGACTCATCACAAGAAGAATGAGCCAGAAACTTGTGTGTTGCTCTTTTAAATAAATATTGATTTACTTATATTTAATTAACAACAAGGATTAGGCCTGCGACAATCAACATAGAAACCGCTACGCACTTAATCTCTGTTCAATAACACAAACATTTGTATTATTGTATAACACAAACATGAGTATGATTGTCTGTATCGGTCTGGATGTTTTCTATGTATAATATGTATGTATTTATGAAAAAAAGCTATGTACTTGTATCAGTTATCTAGTACCCATAACACAAGCTTTAGCTAGCTTAACTTGGGACTAGATGGCGCTGTGTGAATTGTCCTGAGATTATTATTATGTAGTTGAGGGAGGACATATGTCGGTTCAGTTAGTATTCTATAAATACGATTGGTGCTAATACAATTGTAACCTTAAAATTCTTGACACACCGTCGCTAAATTAATAGTAAATAGTCATGTTCTCCGTCCGTACAATTCAATTCCGTATTTGTCAGATTATTGACATTTTAAACTAGAAGTTCTCAATGTACTGGCAGCTATTTACATTTCTATGGAAAGATTATGATCTCTCAATAGGTAAGTAATATTATACATTAAAAGAACTACAATAGTTATTTTTACAGTAATAATTCATTAATAATAACAATAATTTTGCAAACTATATTTACATTTTTATATATTTACTAGCTGCGCCCGTGACTTCGTCCGCGTTAAATTACGATACTTCCATATAACCTTTCAACCCCTTGCAACTCTTGTTTTGCATTAAAAAGTAGCCTATGTCCTTTGTCAGGGTCTAGACTATCTGTGTAAATTTCATTTAAATCGGTTCAGTGGTTTCGGCGTGAAAGCGAGACAGACAGACCGACAGATAGACAGACAGACAGAGTTAATCTCGCATTTATAATATTAGTAAGGATTTTCTTATCAATTTTGAATGTATTTTATTTATAGAATTGTCATATATTTTTATTGTCACTTTTTGCCTTGCTACTGTTTGTACACGTACCTTCATTATAAGTATTTACCGTTTTCTATCCGTTGTTTGATTTACATCACGCATACAGTCCGTTCATTCTATCGCCCACTTTTTGATCCTTCATCGGTAGAAAACCAACCTAACATTTTCAGGCCACAAATAATATCAGGACAATTCACACAGCGCCATCTAGAACCAAGTTAAGCTAGGTAAAAAAAAGGAATAGCTTGTGCTATGGACATTAGATAACTGATACAAATACATTTTAAATACATACAAATTAGACATAGAAAACACCCAGACCGACACAAACAATCATATTCATGATTACAAATGTTTGTACCGTGCGAGAATCGAACCCGCGATATCGGAAGTAAGGCGGTGTGTCAACCCGCTGGAGCACTAAGACTATTTTAGTATTAATCGATTAATAATAACTTTTAAAGTATATTCGAAATTTTTTTGTTGTTACTACCGTATAGGTATATATACCTTAACATGCATTTAGCGAATAGCTGTTAAATTAAAATTACAAGTAGAAGCTTCTATTTTATTTATTTCGCATACATTATTGTGTATTACAATGATTTGTATAATAGATAGCAGTTACTGTAATATGAAAACATTAGGCGAAATGACAATTCCCCAAACCGATCATTTTGAGTCAGTTATCACTGACGCTTTTAAATAACTGATTAAGTTCTAATCAATCATCGCTAATGACGAAACAGTTGGATCAAAAAACCTTGAGGTTATAGTTACAGTTTAAAGTTTACAAAAGTTTACGGTTAGTTAACAGTTTTGAAGCTTAATTATTGGTAAAGCTGTTAAGCTGTAAAAGCGTGAAACGTGACTTTTCAATTTCTAATATCAGTCATATTTAATAAGCCGCTAGAATCATTACTAATATTATAAATGAGAAAGTTACTCTGTCTGTCTGTCTCGCGAAACTACTGAACCAATTAAATAAAATTTTGTACACAGATAGTCTAGACCCTAAGAGGGCTACTCTTTAATGCAAAATAAGGGTAGTAAGGGACAGGGGAGATGAAAGTTTCTATGAAAATATCGTCATTTTTAAAGCTAGGAGCTTGAAATTTATTTTTTATGTTATTAATTAAATGTAAATAAATAGGACATTCAAAGTTTATATAAATTTTACCCTTAAGGGGTAATATAAAATAGGGGATGAAATGGAAATTCGTCAATCTATTCCACGCGGACGAAGTGGGCACAGGTGGTTGTATATATTATTACTTAACAACACAGTACAACATAATAATATGTAACAGTATCATTAACCTAAAACTAAAAACCATAAAAAAATAAAAGAAACTTAATTATTACTAGTAATAATGATTTATTACAACGTGAAACACATTACATATTAGTTTCATTTAAAAATAATATAAAAATTGTCGAAATTGTAACATACTATACAAATAAACAAATTTAAGAAAAACTATTGCAAAAGAACACTTGGAGGTACTGGGACTTGAACCCAGGACTTTCAGCATGCGAAGCAGACACTCTACCACTGAGTTACACCCCCAATGAGACTACAGCCTGAAAATACTGAGAACTATGGACTTGAGTACGTTTGTACTAAAATAAATTAAATATTTTTTATTCAAAATAAACTTTATTTAAACGCTTTCGTATTGTCATTTTGTTTTAGTCTACCCCTCAGAATAAGAAGATATTATTTTTAATGATTAAGTTTTATTTCATGTGGTTTTAGTTTCCTTCTATAGTTAATTAAATATATAAATAAATAACCACCAAATAATAATACCCTTGGACAATTCACACAACGCCATCTAGTTCCAAGCTAAGCAGAGCTTGTGTTATGGGTACTAGACAACTGATGTAAATACTCACACATTTTTTTATTTAAGTACTTTCGTAATCATTTTGTTTTATTTAATTCAAAATGTAATTATATAATTGTACCGTAATTATGATTTTTAAACATTATTATAACGTATTGTAATTAGTTACACTGTGTATTGCGTAGATAATTAATTTATTTTATTTTACTTAATAATATAATTGTAATCAAATTTAAATTTTATTAATATCATTATTATATATTATGGTTTGCCATATATGTAAAGATGTTTTTTATATTGGTCATTAAATGAAACTAAACTAAAAAAAAAACTATTCTACCTCTCAGAATAAAAAGATATTAATTTTAATAATTATATTTCTAGTGGTTATACATTTCATCTATCGTTAATTAAATCTATAAAGAAATAAACGGAAAATAATAATACCGTTGGACCATTGGCCATTGAACATTGTCACATGCCTAATCCTTGTTGTTAATTATATATAAGTAAATCAATATTTATTTTAAAATAGCAACACACAAGTTTCTTGCTCATTCTTCTTGTGATGAGTCTGCATTCCGAAGGAGCGGTAGAATAAAAAAACTTGACTGTTCTAAAGTGCTTGTATTAAGTTTATTTGAATAAAGATTATTTCTATTTCTATGTATTTCTATTCACAAACGAGGGGTAGAAATAAAAAAATATGACTATTCAAAGGTGCTTATATGTATTAAGATTATTTGAACAAATATTATTTCTATTTCTGTTTCATTATATTCCAGGCCTAATAACTTGGCTCCAGAGTACCTTCGGCTGCCGTCTACCCATAGTTCAAGGAGGGACCATTTCTTTCCTGGTTCCAACGCTGGCGATACTCGGTTTACCAGCGTGGCAATGTCCCACCACTGAGGCGCTGGCTGCCATGACGGATGCAGAGCGTCGGACGGTATGGACCACCAGGATGTGCGAGCTGTCCGGTGCTATAGCTGTCTCAGCTTTGTTTCAGTTGTTTCTTGGTAAGTTCTTATGTTGAATCTTATTTTTTTAATAAAAACTAATAACCCAGGAAAGTTTCTAAAGCGCCATCTAGTAGATATAGTTGCTTCTTGGTAAGATTTTGTGTTACATCTTTTTTTAATAATATTATAATATATTAGCTTTGTCCACAGTTTCACCTGCGTTAAATTTCAATTTAAAATATAGCCCATGTATTATTCTGATGTATAAGCTATATTACTGAAAAGTTCCATCAAAATTCGTTAAGTAGTTTTTGCGTAAAAGACTAACAAAAAAGTCACAAACTTTCGCATTTATATACATATAATATATTAAGATTAAGATAACCCATTTCACATATGCCTATCTAGTCCCAAGCTAAGCAGAGCTTACGTTATAGGTGCTAGACAATTGATAGAAATACTTACTTGTATTTTCTTTTGTAAACAAAGACGTAATATATAACGAAAACAAATAATACAAAAATGTACAATAAACTATCTAACAAAACAATGGAATTGACATCAATAGAATTTAAGAACAAAATAAAATCATATTTCGAGCGACATCCTTTTTACAATGTGACGGAATATCTGAATTTCAATGTGAAATTATGAAATTTTCCATTAAGTGACTTTTAATTAGTTTTATATATATATTATATATTGTTTTAATTTATTATTTAGAATAGTTAAAATTGTAATTGTGACATAATTATCTTAAAAAAAATGTATTTACTATTGACGTGCTATTGTGTAACAAGATTTGATACATTTGTGAATAAAACAATATGAAATATGAAATTATTAAGCATTATAAATAGAAAACACGTTGTCATCGATCTAGTTTATATCGACAAACAATCATGCTCATGTATATAAATGTTTGTACCATGCGAGGAATCGAACCTGCATCAATTGGAATTAAGGCGATGTGCTGAACCGCTAGAATATTGAGGCCGTCCTTCAATATGTTTTCGTAATGATCATTATGAATGTTAGTGTATGGGTTTATAATTTTAAATTTGATTACTTTGTTAGACATATCTTGATAAAAATAAAACGTTTTTGCTAAACTAAGAACTTGCTACATTTTATATAATACTACAGCAAATACTTAATTTCTATGACTTATTGAGATTTAAGTAAAGTTTTAACATATAACATAGTATTTCTTATTCATATGTCTTTTATAGTTTACATGGTATCTATACATATAAATAAAATTGGAGTGTCTGTTTGTAATATTGAAATAACAGTTTTTTACTACATGGATATCAATATAAATACGGTACATACACCAAAATAACATTTTTTATAACTTTTGTCTGTCTGTCTGTTTGTTCCGGCTAATCTCTGAAATGGCTGGACTGATTTTGACGGACTTTTTTTGGCAGGTAGCTGATGTAATAAGGAGTAACTTAGGCTACTTTTATTTTAGAAAAATAAAGTTAAAATCCACGCGGACGAAGTCGGAACAGCTAGTTTCGAAATATATTGTGATGTATACACATGTGTGAATTGTCTCCAGTTACTATTATTTTTGTTATCTTTTCTTTTCTTTTCTTTTATCACTTTAAAAGAAACTAATACTCATCCACACGGGCCTTAGCCAAGTGTGGGACAGATTGCGCTATGAGGCAGTCAAGAATTTTCTAGTTATTTTTTTTCTTATTTATTTAATTAACACAATATAAACTTACAGCTAATTGCCAACACGTTTATATTTTAAAACTATTTATACTACTTAAAATTATATGATGACAAAAATATTTTTTATTTAGTAATTATGGAAGGCAAGGCTTCTGAATAAACGTCAGCATCTTGGACCTTACCTAAAAATGAATTTAATAATTGCAATGCTCTCATAGTGGGAGAATTGCTAGCGTGGCTTGTGCGTACCGACGCGGTTGCAAACAGTCGGACACAACGACGGGTGACACTTCTCACGTAATTCGGTGGGATATTGAATCCTATCCGTTCTACAACTACGGGATTATGCCACAGTTATTATTATTATTATTGTATTTCAGATCTTAACCAGGGATGTTAAGGAGCTCCGTAACCGTAACCGAAACTATCGGATATCCGATATAAAAAAATATTCATAACCGTAACCGAATCCGAAATAAAAGTTTCGGATAATATCGGATAGGGGCGGAGTCTAATTGAGACACGTTATGTAACCATTATATTACTTAGCTGTTTGGAACGTAACCGAAATTATCCGAAACTAACGGATAATCCGAAATAATTTCATATCCGCATTCATATCCGGTATAATAATCATTCCTGTATCCGAAACCTATCCGTATCCGAAATTTCATATCCATAACATCCCTGATCTTAACCACAATTACTGCAATGATTTTTTATAATACATTTTACATCGTACAATAAAGAGTCAGAAGTTGACTCTGTATTGTAAAATAAAATAATGAACAACAATTCAATTCGTTCTTGCCAACTGGCTGACTTGGCTTCTATTGTCCTTTGAAAGCCTCCAGCATTCACAATAGGATGCAATTCCCGTTCATCTTGAGGAAATTGTTTTTGAAAAATGCTCTCTTCAGATTACTTTGGTGTTATCAGCTCAGAAGCTGCTTTCCAACGCCTTATGTTTCTAATTTTAAAGAACAAAAACTTTTAACATATATAATAATTGTACCTACAAATTGAAATTTTGCACTCTTACGAGGTTAATGTACGGATCTCAACGATATTGTTAACACCTTATTGTTTAACTACATTTGGCAAATAAAGTATTATTATTATTATTTTAAATAGTCTTAAAAACATTTCAAATCAAAAATCAATTAGTCCTATACGACCTTTTAACCGTAAACATAATTTGGCAGTAACACAAATCAAATCAAATCAAATCAAATGAAAAATATTTATTTTATTTGCCATAAAATTATTCGTGTTAAGGCCCGATTAATAGATAATTTCCAATGAAATATAATTTATTCCTGTACGACAGTTTTCCTGTGTGACATTTTAACCGTAAACTTAATTTGGCAGTAACAGAAATCAAATCAAAAATAGTTATTTTATTTGTCATAAAATTATTCGTGTTAAGATCCGGTTAATAATTTAACAAATCAAAAATAATTTATTGTAATGCAAGCAAGTCTGTATTGTGTGGTTCAGATGATATCATTACACATAATTGATATGTTAGGTGCTCGGCTGACTTTATAACATATATATAACTCAAAGGTGACTGACATAGTGATCTATCAACGCACAGCCCAAACCACTGGACGGATCGGGCTGAAATTTGGCATGCAGGTAGATGTTATGACGTAGGCACTAGGCATCCGCTAAGAAAGGATTTTGATTAATTCTACCCCCAAGGGGATAAAATAGGGGATGAAACATTGTATGAAACTTTGTCAATTTTAAACCAATCTGGCTGAGACTTTGCATGCATAAATCTACTATGACGTAGGCATCCCCTAAGAAAGGATTTTATAAATACCACCCCTAAGGGGATAAATTAACGCGAGTGAAGATGCGGGCCAAAGCTAGTTAATGAAATAAATTACCAATATCATGCAACACTTACAATTAGTATAATGAGGTAATTTTACAAAAGTATATTTATAAATAAAAATAAATATAAAATATATTAATACATATATACACATATTAATTACTAATGAGACTTTGTGACATTAACATTCGGTTTGAAATAATCTCTGGCATTGATTATAGTCCAGACTTGCTAAAAATTTTTTATTTTTATTTTTTACTCAGGACCTTATCAAATAAACGGTGTATATGTAAAGTAAAGTAGGATGTGTGTAATACATACCGAGCCTGTCATGACGAGGTAACCCAACAAACAGACTACTTAATGGTCAATTGTGACGGATTGTAGTACACAAAAAAATATATTTTGGTTTGAGCTTGAGTTTAAAAATAAGTATTGTTCCCTTTAGGTTACTTTGGTGTGATCGGCTCAGTGCTACGTTTTGTGACACCGCTCACGATAACGCCGACCGTGGCTCTAGTTGGACTGACGCTGTTTGATCACGCGGCTGAGGCTGCTTCCCAACACTGGGGTATTGCTGCTGGGTAAGTGTGTACTACTTACTTACTTCCGCCCCTTGTCAGGAGTGTACTTGCTTAGAGCAAGATGGCAAGAACTTGGCATCCGACTGGTGCTCATCTAGTAAACCTGGCACTCCGAGAAGACCACCGACCAAGTTCGGCCTCAACTCTTCCATGATCTTGGAGCCTTGGCCGCAGCCACCTCCACCCGTGAAGTTGAGCTGCCGGCTGAAGAAGGCCGGGAAAATGTTGAACTGCTGCGGGTCCGGCAGCGCGGCCAGGGGCGGCGCGGGTGGCTCGCTGGCCCCGCGTGTTAGTAAGTAAAGTAAAGTTACTTTACTTACTTGATTTTACTTATATGATTTTTTATGTAATTGGAATAGCGAACTGACGATTCTCATCTGATCGTAAAGTAACCATCTACCTATACCCATGATAAACACTACATCCATGACACCATTCCCTCTGATCGATCCCCCGTCCAAATTTGTTTTTAATTTTTTTATTTATTTGAACTGAAACGGTGATCGAAATTACAACGGCCTGAGCCGAGGTTCGAATCCCAAACAATGCCTTCAGACCACAGATAATATAATATTATATACTTCAGACTAAAGTCGTATCCGTTAGGAGGGAGTTGGCCTTCAGCTGCTCCATAAGTACTCCGCGGGTTTGGAGAGCCAGCTGCACTTGGCTCCTATTGTCCGGTGAATCTGTAAAGTCCAGCTGCAAACATTAGAGTAGTACGAAAAAAAACGTGATACCGTGTGCCTTTTGTCGTGTGATTGTCATGAGACGAACCTGATAACACTCTTCTTTTGTAAAAATCTTTTATATTTCTTTTGTACAATTATTTTTTCTGTACCTCATATGTTTGATTGATGAATTAAGAATATATAATTAACTGGCTCTGCCCGCGGCTTCACCCACGTTAAATTTGTAGCCTAATGTTATTCTGATGCATAAGCTATATTATTGTAAAGTTTAATTAAAATCCATTCAGTAGTTATTGCGTGAAAGAATAACAAACATCCATCATATCCAACATATACAAACTTTAAAATATTAGTAACATGTATAAGTAATTATTTTTTTTAAATATAATCTATCTATCTAATAAATAACTTATTATCTATCTATCTATCTAATTGCATCCGTGCAGAGCCGGATCATTAGTTTAATATACTCGTAACAAGGCTGTCAAAGTCCACATTGAACCGACGTCCCTTCCGGAAGTGATCTAGTAAAGCATCCTTGAATGGACTGAAGGCCTTTGATGGTATACATATCCCTTTGAAGAGATACACCGCTTTGTTGTGTAGATCAATCGGGAGATTGGGAGCCTGTATGTAGGGTTGCCAACTTTTTTTTTACCAAAAAAAATCGTATAACTGTCATTTTTTCTTATCCAAACGATAGGAAAATAATAAAGTATTAGGGAAACAAAAAGTATTTTTCAATTTTTTTTTGCATTAATAATGTATTTTTGCGTGCTTCTAACACTAGAGCTGTGACAAATGTCACAACTCACAATCACATCTAACATTTCGTTCATTAATTATAAATCGTTAAGTACCCATAACGAGTATTTTGTTTTACGCATCACAGTAAACGTTGAAAATAAAGTATTTTTGCATACTTTATGTAAAAGTATAAAGTAATTATAATTTATACTTTTACATGAAGTATGCAATTACTTTACTTTATACTAATAAAGTATGGTTGACAACCCTACCTGTATGTATGGCGACCAATTCATAATTCCTCTTGAGGCTTTGATAGCATCAATGCAATCAATGCCTATGTTTGGACTAAATACAGATACTGTTGAGTTTGTAACGCATTGGATGGATGTATATGTGCTCTTAGTACTTATAACTGATTAATTTAATGTGCAAATACAAAAACATCGTTAAATTCATGACATTATTTATTTCTAAGTTGCTTACCCCCGTGTGACCGACATAGCCCGAAGAATTGCGACTCTGAATTGGCAATGGGCGGGGCACATAGCTCGTAGGACAGATGGCCGTTGGGGCAGTAAAGTCCTCGAGTGGCGACCACGGACCGGAAGACGCAGAGTGGGAAGGCCTCCAGCAAGGTGGACCGACGATCTGGTCAAGATCGCTGGAAGGCATTGGATGCGAGCAGCGCAGGACTATAGGAGGCCTATGTCCAGCAGTGGACGTCTTTCGGGCTGCGATGATGATGATGATTACCCCCACACCTTCTTTTACATCAAACTTCATTTATTTATAATTTAAGAGCTGTGCTCTTGTCGGTGGAGCTCCCGCCACCTTCCATGATCTTCTACCAGTCTTTTTAGTTGTTGATACGACACCACTCCAACTTTTTCCTTAACTTATTTGACGTAGCTGTATCTCGGTCTTAACCTTCCTCTCTTTCCATCTATTTTTCCTTCGATAATATTATTAACTAGCTACTCGCCCCGGCTTCGTCCAGGTGTATTATACATACACATCTATTATACATATATAAATCTTCCTCTTGAATCACTCTATCTATTAAAAAAAACCGCTTCAAAATCCGTTGCGTAGTTTTAAAGATATAAGCATACATAGGGACGGACAGACAGCGACAGCGACTTTATTTTATACTATGTAATGATTAGTTCGTCGTGTCGTATCAAGTGCCCCAACATTTTTCCCCGCCTATTCTCAATAATATCTATGATTTGTTTCTTTTCTTTAACCCATTCAAGCACCACACTTACTTGACATTTATCATTATATATCGCCCAATTTTCATAATATCTTATTAAGTTATAGCCTATTAGTTGTGCTCGAGATTTCGTCCGTGTGAAATAGTGACTTTGGATAATATTTTTGATTATATAGGCTAATTATTTCAAAAATAAGACATGCATAACAGCGTTTTAGCTTAAAAAATGACGAATTTCCGTACAGATGTTCATCTCCTATTTTAAGTTACCCCCTTAAATATCAAATTAGTAAAACAAGTATCAGCAGCTTGTATGGGAAAATATAATTGATGTTCTTACTATTTTACATGCAATTTCTTTATATTTTATTACCGTTTAAACGCTCCCTGGACTTCCACGAATATTTCAAGACTTAAATTAGCCAAATCGGGTCAGCCGTTCTCGAGTTTTAGAGAGACTAACGAACAGCAATTCATTTATATATTCATATTCATATATATATATATATAGATAATTGGTTTTGGATTGCTCCAAATCAAAATTTCATGTTTCAAACTACAAAGAACGAAGATTTTCAAGCAGTCATAAAGACATTTCAAATACATGACAAATCAAATAAAAAAATATTTATTCATGTAGGACATTTTAGCCGCTTACGAAGTTTATATTTTTTGTATTATTATATTTGTCGTTCTATATATACATACTGTAGTTTGTATTCATACGTTTCGACTTGTAAATGTAAACTTACAAGGATTATTTAACAGAGCAACACACAAGTTTCTTGCACGTTCTTCTTGTGATGAGACAGCTTTCCGAACGTGCGGTAGATAAAAAAAATTGTTATGACTATTCAAAAGTGCTTAAATTAAGTTTATTTGAATAAATGATTTTCTATTCTATTCTATTCTGTGACCGCTGCTTTACCCGCATAAAATTTATAGCCTATATGTTATTTTGATGTATAACCTATATAACTGTAAAATTTCATCAAAATCCGTTCAATACTTTTTGCGTGAAAGAGTATCAAACATCCATCCATACTCACAAACTTTCGCGTTTATAGTATTAATAAGTGATATATATATATATGTATGTGACCTATCTGATTATATGTATATCTTCTTTCAACAAAGACAATGGAGTTTTTATCTAATTTCATAGTCTACATCGAGATTAAGTTCAGACAATGTCATTTTACTTTCAATATTAGGTCCCCAGCTCCGGGCAGTAATGTAACTACTTTTTATATCATTACCCGGGACAGCGTCCAATCCGCTGTTTATAGATTGCAAGTGGGCGGAAACTGTCCTGGATAAGGAGGAAGGTCAAAGTTGAACGATCCGTGGCCTGCATACAGCACAGCTCCATCGATCTGATCAAATTAATAACCCCTAACAGTTTAACATCGAAGCAACAGGCATATTGAAACTGGGACAACCTTGTTGTGTAATAAATCACGATATGTTTGTATTTTAGAAATTATTTAGGAGTACTTTAACTGCCTCGGTGGTCTAGCGGTTTAGTACACAGCCTTACTTCCAATGGTCGCGAGTTCGATTCCTCGCACAGTGCAACATTTGTATTCATGAGTATGATTGTTTGTATCTGAGTGTTTTCTATGTATAATATGTATGTATTTAAGGAAAAAATATATTTATGTGAATATTTGTATCAGTTATCTAGTACCCATAATACAAGCTTTACGTAACTTAGCTTGGGACTAGATGGCGCTGTATTAATTGTTCTGAGATTATCTTTATAATTTCTTGGTGAATTTGTTACGATGGGCTAACTGGCCTGACCTCATGCTCATCTTATTATCCTCCACTGGTGCCCCGCCAGCGTAAACCGTTTGCGTAGGCGGGTGCACCTTTCCATTATCATCCCTAAGACACGAGAATTTTGTATATTAGATGAATTTCAAAACAACACCTAATTCGATAAATTAATTGACTTAGTTTCTTGTCAGTTCTCATCTCGAAATCACTCCGTACTGATTTGACATATCATAAGAGTTTGTAATAGACCTACATGAATATTAATATTTTAAATTTGAATTTTGTATAATCCTCTATACGGTCATAGATACATATAGAAAGAAAGAAAGAAAATAAGTTTATTTGGTACACATAACAATAACAAAAATAATTTTTAAATTTTAATTTACAGTTATATAGTACCAAATAGGTCTCCGCTCAGCATACATCATGATGAGTTGCCACGACGTTGGTATTCTGCGGATACCTTCATACATATAAATATAATAATAATATACATACATACATAAATCTAGGCACATAACACTTAATAAACATCATTACATAGTATAAAACAAAGT